CCTTTCAAAAGTAATATTATTACTTTACTTATTACTTTCTGGCAACAGTAATTAGTTACACTACTAGTTACATTACTTTTCCTTCATGCCCCACAGAAGTTGTAATTGTGTATCTTCCCCATAAAATTCTTCTAAAATGTTACTAACAATATATTTCTGCCTCATCATTTGACCAAAACCTACATTGGATCGCAGTCAGAAGTTTTTACAAACACTCAATGGTGATTGATGGTGACTTTTAAGAAAAAGTGTTGTATTAATTGTCATGTGTAGCTTGAAGCTAATTGTAGCTATGATTATATTTCATGAAGTATTTTATCAAAAGAAATCACATAAGTTCATAAGATTTTTAATTATAGTAATATAATTTATATGGGGATCAGACAGAGGGATGTGGGTGGGTAAAGTGGGTGTGTACAAGTGTAAAGTAATGCCACAACTTCCACATCTGCGTTCAGATCACAAAATCAGTGTAATGGCAATATTTCCATCCCCTGAATGTAAGCTTTTCCATATTCAAAGCTTTCCTGATGCACTGGTGACTTCATGTGCCTGTGCGAGTCGTGAAAATTATGAAAATAAATCTAGGAATTATTTTATTCTTGGATTTCAAATCAGGGGTTGAGGCATCAAAAGTAACTAAGTAACGAGCTGTTTTATGGATGGTAACGGTGATATTATTACTGAAATCTTATTAGTAATTAGTTACACTACTAGTTACTGCAAAAAGTAATATTACAGTAACTAGTTACTAGTTACTGCCCAACACTGAACGGGGCACCCTATATGGAAAATGCATGGAAAAAGTAGTTTCTTTTGTAAAAAAAAAAAAAGAAAAATACAACACACAAATCTTTTGACCCACAAGCATGGAGCAAAATTTAGTAATGCAAATACTTCACCTAAAGATAATATGTTTTGCACAACATTAAAGATAATACTTGTTCAAAATAGAACATTAAATATTAGATCAAGAACAGAAATTACTCTATGCTGTAACTTCAAGGATCACGTCAAGGATCCGACAAATTTCCAGGTTTATGTAGATGTTTAGACAAGTGCGCCATCTAGTGGTTTAGAGCAAAATAAAAGCAAATCTGCCTTTTATCCAGGGTTGCCTTAATGGATTAGTTCACTTCCTGATTATTTACTCACCCCCATGTCATCCAAGAATTTCATGTCTTTCTTTCTTCAGTCGAAAAGTAAGGTTTTTGAGGAAAACATTCCAGGATATTTCTCCATATAGTGGACTTCAATGGGGACGATCCTCGGCTGGGATCGTGTAGAGCCCTTTGAAGCTGCATTGAAACTGCAATTTGGACCTTCAACCAGTTGGTCCCCATTGAAGTCCACTATATGAAGAAAAATCCTGGAATGTTTTCCTCAAAAACCTTACTTTTCGACTGAAGAAAGAAAGACATGAACATCTTGGATGACACGGGGGGTGAGTAAATTATCAGGAAATTTTTTTTCTGGAAGTGAACTAATCCTTTAACCCATCTGTACCCGAAATCTTGTTATACATCATGAAATTGATAATTAAATGTACAGACAGACTGTCCAAAACATATGAGCATGATGGGAGTTGTATCTCACCATAGCCAGAGTATGTATTGTTAGATTTGCGTCCACGTCCTCTTCCTCCATAGGTGCGTGTGGTCTGCAGGGAGTTTGTGCTCTCGTCCGTGAGGTAACCCCGTTCACGCTCGCCGGCGACCCCTGAACCAGAGCGGCTGGGGGGTGCGCGATATCCCACCCCAATCTGACGGAGCTGTTCATCAATCTGTAAGCGCTCGAGACGCAACTGCTCCACCTCCTATCAATCACAGAGAGAGAAAGCACTGTCAGGCATTGCTGTTAAACTACAAGCAGAGTTATAGAAAACAGGAATAGAGATCACAAAGGTAATATAATGTAATCATTTCTAGTTTTTGTTTAATAGCAAAATAGGGAAAAACATGCTGTTATTATCTATGACAATATAATACATAAGATAATATGATACAATATGTAATATAATTAATACATATATCATACAATATATGATAAGAAAATAGAAAAATATATTATATAGCAGTGTTTCCCAACCGGGGTGCCTTCTGTCGAGAGCAGGGGTTCCGTGTAAAAAATTATTTTTAAATTTTTTCTAAATTGCTAAAATGTTCAAAAAAGCATCTATTATATAATATCCATTTCTGATGTCGCCAATAATAGCAATAAAACAATATATAATAAAAGATCAGATAAAATATAATAATATTTTTTTGGGGAAAATAAAAAATATATATAAATGTTTAATATCTATCAATATAATATTATAATATACAAGACAACAAAATATCAGAATTATAAAAAATTTTATTACTGGGTTTCTTTAAGTGCAAAAGGGGGAAAACAACTGCAACGTGTGACAGCTGCTGGTTTGAAACAGCAGCTGAACGCTGACAGAGGAGGGCAACGTGGTACAGCTGGGCCGGGATGGACAGGGGAAATGGCTATTTTGAGAGGCGACTGGGTAGACAGCATGTAATCCACACTTTGCCCACTCCCCCACCAAATCTACCCCCAATGGGGGTATTTTTAGCATTAGTTGGTGGTTAAGTTCGACCAACAGCTTCCCATGAAGGAGGAGATCAGCTGACCAGTCAAGAGACAGTTCATTTCAAAAGCTCATCTTTAGCATGGCACAATGAATTCAATATATCTTTGTATAATGTTTCAACATTTGAAAACTTTTGAGTCTTGAACAATAACAGAACAAACAGGGAATTTCCAGACACCCTTCAGCAACTGCAATCAGTTCAGAGACTGAACACCCTTCATGCCTGGTGACTAACCTGAAGGTAGGCCACATGGTACTCGAGCAAGGCCTGGGCGTTACTGATGTTCTCTTTGGTTCCAACAAAGATAAAGGGAACCATTCCCTGCACAACAAAGAAAAAGGAGGGATAACATTTGTGATGTCAGTAAAGTCAGAAGCTATCTCAGATGTTAAATGATTAAAAATGCTCAAAATGTGTGTACACTTGCATGAAAATAAACAGCTTGTTACTAATATTGTGTTGTTTTCCTCACTGAGGTTTTATTTAGCTGTAACAGTGAGAGGCTTGTTGTATCAGGTGGGCAGCTCATTTACCTCTTGGCTGCTGACAGTGTTGTCTCTGCCAGCCCCATGCCTGCCTACCTCCTCCCTGGGCGGCTTTTTATCATTGTCCCCTTCGATCCGGACTCGAACCACGCCCGATTTGTCTACTATTTCTTGGATAATTTTGCCATTTTTGCCAATGACTTTGCCTGTTGTGAAAGAGAGCGAAAATCACTGGGTAAGAACACTTGGGCTTTGGCAGATTTCCAGAATTTATGCTTAGCTAAGGTCTGTCCACAAATGAACTGCATTCAGAAGTCCAAACGAAATGTGTCTAATAAGCAACTGACCTACAAGGTTCCTTGGAACCTGGAAGGAATCCTCCTTAAACTCCAGATAGGTCCTGGCCTGCTTCACAGCCTCTGGGGTCTTGAGTCAGAAAGAACAACCCATCAAAATCACTGCTGTCTTATATGTATCTTTATAAAAAATAAAAATCACACAAGATGAACTCAAAGAAAAGATAAATACCTCTCCATAGATCCTGAATGTGCAGCTCTCTTCTTCCAGCTCAATGGCAGTGATGCCGGGAACTTTGCGGGCCTGCTGGATGTTGGCACCGTGAGAACCGATGGCCAGACCCATTAGTTCCTCACGCACCTTCACTTCTTCCTGATACGCAGACGCCAGCTGTTTACTCGTCTGCAGTACACACAAAAACACGCAAATGTTGAGCTGGTTGTCTGTTTAATTAAACCACAGGGGGAATCCAGCATGACAAGAACAAGCACATAATGACAAGAAAAAAACAAAACACAGAAAGAGAATTGCACTAACAAACAACAATATAAAAAGAAGTCTGAAGTACTATTTCTATTTCTAAGTACTATTCTCAAACTAGCTATTATATCTTCACATGCAACTTTCTCTGTTAGGACTGGCTAATGTATTTGGCAAGTAAAATGAGTAACAAATAAAAAAAAAAATCCCCATATTGTGTATTTGTGTACCTCTAAGTGTTTAGTGGCCTCCTCGTTACGGGACATAAGCATGAGTTTGGTGCGAATACTCCGGAAGTGCATGTCACTCAGTAGGGCTGCTCGTTTCACCGTGCACTCCTTTGTGGACTGAGGAGAAAGAGACATATTTGGTTAAGACACAATGTATTTTTCAGTATCACAATGAGAGTGTAAATAAGAATTAAACACTGACCAGGACAATAAGTTGGTGTGTAAAGGTGTTGTAGAAGATGCAGTTGGCTCCGATTGATTTCCTGAAGTCTTTGTGGATGTTCTCGGTCAAACAGCTGCATCATTCAGAATAGAAAAGAATACATTTAAATCTTTCAAAATATATTTAATTTAGGGACCCCATGAAATCCATTTTATTTTCCCCTAAATTCAGCGTTCTCATTTTATTTTTTTACTCTTATCGTCAAAAACTGAAAAGAAATGAATAAAACTTTAACAGTTTAATCAATCTTTTAAAATGTAATCAAATAAAACTAATTAATTTACAACAAAACATTGCAGTTGGATTTTTTTTGTCAAATAAGATGCTGCAAAGCAGAACTGTGGAAATGAAATCATGGATGAAAAATAGCTTGGTTGTATGGTATTTCTTAAAAATATTAGTAGGAGCATTATTATTATTAGTAGTACATTTTAGCATACAATAGTTGTATTTCTTTCATTTCATCATTTCAAGTTAACCTGAACTTTTATTTTTTGGTGGTTTGTCGTGAAGATCTTTCAGTGCAGTAGTTTTTCAGTTTGTAGCTTTTCTCAAATTAAATAGTGAAAAGCTTGTGAATTGACTCGCTTTGGAGATGTTTAGACAGCAGAAGCCAAAAACAGTGTGTTTGAGTTTGTGTAGCAGACGTAAGCATGCCACTGATTCACAAAGGGACACGCAGAACATGCAGACTTACCAGTGACATGCACTGACTGGCTTATGTCATGTTTATTCCTGCTGTGTGATTAATCCATATTGGGTAAAAATCTCCAGAGCTTATTATCGTTATAGACAAATCTTATTGCAATCTCGATATGATATTGCTTATCGCCCAGCCCTATCACACACAGTTTGTTGAGGTTGACATCGAGGTAGAAACACAGTCTGTGACTAAAAAGTGGAGTATCAGAAGACTGCATGTGTGACTTACATGTCTCTGAGATCCTCGGGTACAGCGATGGGGACTTTGTAAAAGGTGTTTTCAGAGGAGGGGATGTTGGGATTGACTGGCCGGATTCGTTCCGATGTGACAATTTCATTGTATGTGGCGTCACAGGCTGCGTATTCGATCACATAGAACTGAACAGAAAAAAATATATTTAAAATACATCACAATGCCCATCACACACATGAAACAAACCAATGTCTGCATGCTGAACACGGTTAATAGTTTCGGTAGTTACATTGGATTATTATACCGATTATTACTCTCTGGAATATTTTTGATTACACAAACACGGCATTCTTGAATCTAATATTTTAGTATAATGATTGTTAAGATGTGTATTTGACCATTTAATAAAATCATTTAACCTTAAACCAATTGTTCATGTCTGCTAATTTGGAAAGTAGCTATGTAATAAGCAGGATAATTGTACAGTCAGCTTTGAATCTGGCTCTTGTTGGGTTTATTTTGTGGTAATGAGCAGCTGACTGTTTATTACACAAGTCACAATGGCCTCTTTCACACCCTCACCACTTTAAAGACACAGCAAACAGACTGAAGCTGCTCAAAGACAGTTTTGTTGTGCTAGACCACAGTGGTAACACGACTACACTCAGTGGCACAGAATGCAGTCAAAAGTCAAGTCTAAATTCGTCCTATTATTCGACTGCCCCAGTATCAGAATGAAAGTGTGCAAGAGGGAGAAGACCGTTCCCCAGTGCTGTATGTAACATTATGAGAGCTCTGCCTGTCAATCCACCTAATTAGCCAAAATGTGTGTGGAAGCAGGTTTGAACGAGACCTTGCCAGGGAACAGTGGACAGCAGACATAAGCTTTGAGGAGTTTAAGCAGTGTTAATGAACTTCTATGTGTGTATCAAAAAAAGGATAAGCAGCAATTTATATAGTAAATGTTGTAAATGTTAGCATTTTACTAGAACCATACAATAATGCGCCAGGTTCAAGCAAAGCTCTGTGGCATGGTTACTACAAGAAATATTTTAGATGTGTCCCTCAGTTTAAAATAAAATGAAAAATAAAATTAAATGAATTAAAGGCGCAATAGGAGATCTTGGAAAATGCTAACTTTAGCCTGATAGCACTGAAAGCGAATGTCCCACCCTCCCTGCAATCGCCGTCCAAAGCCACGCCCCCTGAATGCATATACACTCACTCACAGACCAGACACTTTAGATCAACTGGGCAATACATTGAACCAGGATACATGTTAAAATACACAAGTTTAAATAATAATTGATTATTCTTTATAATTAAAAACAATTAATATTAAAGATTAATAAAACTGTCCATCAATAAAAACATTCATAAATATACAGTCATACTCTTTGGAATGACTATTAATGCAAAGGGACAAGTCCAAAATATTTTTCTGGCAATGACAGCATATGAACCCAGAACATTCCTTAAACCTGATGCCTAAGCGTGACCTATTTAGAGGATCCCAGATGTCTTTAAACAGACCTACATTTTGCGGTTGTTTATCTTGCTCATGCATACTGAATGCATATTCTAGAGCTTAAGGCGATCTGCTATTAGATCACCAGGGGGCTCAGTCTGACTCAATAAATGAGATCACTCTAGTGTTTATGGGTAACTGGGTCAGTGCTGCAGATGTGTGTGTTAAAGGCCTACTAGATCCAAAAAGACCTGAAACACCCTCAATCAATATTCATATATTCACATTGGACTCAACTTCAGAGGCCAACAGAGTGAATAATGAGAGACAGAACCCTTGAAATGCAGACCCCGTAACCCACATCTGGATCAAACATGTGCTCGCTTGCACACCTGTACCTGACTTACCTCTCCCTTCATCATCCTCACCTTCGCCAACCACCAGCCGCAGGGCTCCTGCTCGTTGGCTCTGGAGTAAACCTGCAGGAGAAAGACCAGGTCAGGTGATTGCATGTTGGGAAGCACGGAAAGAAATGGCCAGTCTATGTGTTTAACAGAAAGCAAGAAACAAATTAGTACCCTTCTTTGTACCATAAAAGGAGTGTGCTACAGTATGGAGAGAAAAAAATTAACAAAAGACAATGCAGAATGTGCCAGGTATTAGGGGTGGGACAATATATTGATATGGCGATTAGGGATGGAACGATTACCGGTTTCACGATAAATCACAATAAAATGCCCTGACGGTTAGTATTATCGTTTAAAATTTAATTATCATCAAAACCGTATTTGATTATCGGGATTTTGAAAACTCGCGGTAAATCCTGTCCAGCCAGCATCAGTCTGACGCAGAAGCAGCATGCAATGTGGTTGTTTTTTTTGCACGAGACGAAATGGCGGAAGGCAGTGACAGCGCTCGGGAGATTTTTCAGCCATCTAAGAGAACCAAATCGGTGGTCTGGTCGTATTTTGGCTTTTACAAGAGTCCTGAAGGCAATTTAATCGAGGACGGTCACCCTGTCTGCTGATCTTGCAAGAAGAAAGTGGTTTATGTTCTGTTATGTGGATCGTTATTTTGTCATTCTCTTCTGTTTACTTCACTTCCTGTTTCAACGCTATTTGGTTTCGGTTTCATTGGTTTCTGAATATGACCTCGTTATATTGTAACACATACACACACAGATTATATATATATATATGGCGATAATACCGCGCGCTATTGAGCCACTCAAAATTACCGCAAGGGAAATTCCTTCACCACGACAGCCCTATGGGTACATAATTAAAGCTGCGACAATTGAGTGTAGGGGTGGGACAATATATCGATATGGCGATATATCGTTGTCCTTCTTCATGCGATACGAGAATCGATATCTGGCACTAAATACCGATATTTTACTACAATACAATACTACAATTTACTACAATATATTACCACAATAAGGTGCTCTATATAGATTTCCCTGCTCCCAGCATCTAAAAAATGCATGGAAATCACGGCCGCGCCATTTCCACCTTCTTTCCAAAGCACTCTGAGCAACCATGAACTGCGTTCTCTATGAAGATGGGGAAGCACGAGGAACCGAAGGGTAAACAGATTTCCAGCCACTGTATTAGCTCTACTGCTCTATATATGTTTATGGAGATAAAAGGAGATGGAGATAAAAAAA